GCGGATAGGCATCGTAAGAGGACAGAGTGTATGAGCTTTCCAGTCTTGCGACTTTGAATCGAAGCTTGGGGTAACAGGAAAGAGAAAGAGAGAGAAAGAGAGAAAAGGACAGACAAACGGAAAGAGGAATGAGAGAGAGAGAGAGAGAGAGGGTGAGCGAATAACGGGGTAAACTTTGAATATGCTGTATGAATAAAGCGCATGCGTTCTCGACCTCGTGCTGAGAGAAACCAAAAAGGGGAAGCGGACAATACGCGTACTTACGTAGATAGCTCGACGTGCGTGAAGAATCAGCGCGTACGAACGAACGAATAAACGAACGAACTATACCAAATGCGAAAATGGAAATGCAAATGTTTCCCCCTAAAAATGTTCTTACCGACAATATCGATAAAATGGGATTTATTTCAGGCATTTCACATTTCAATATCAATTTAATTATACGTTCTCTCTTTATAAATTATTTATTCGAATCGATTCTATATTATCGAATATAAGTACTCTTTTATATTTCAATATATATATATATATTTTTTTTCTTTTTTTTTCTCATTTAATATATTATCGGGATATTAATTTATCTTTCGTAGAAATATTATTATATATTATATTAATATTTATATTCAATGGAAAATTTTTCATTGGTACAAACGTGTTTTCGTATAAATGATGATATTATTTCATAAATTGTTGTCAAAGTTATGAAACAAAATAAAAATCGTTAATAGTATTCTCGTTTAATAAAGAATCTTCGAAAGTTTAATGTGAACTTAGGTTGATAGTATACTATCATCATCGTGTCGAATGGTGTTTGTCTTTCTTATTTGAGTATTCGGGATAGTATTATCGAATTAATCGAGTGAAATGTTTCGTTAATATGTGCATTGGCATGGTTGAATAATATGATGGTAATACAGAGACAAAGATGAACTTTCAGTCAGACATTAAGTAGTAACATAACTTATTACTTAAACTATACTATTTAACGGGTTTAAACTTACGTATATAGATTCAACGTAATCTATATTTCTCCTAATACTTATTAAAACATTTAGGATAAACTTTAATCTCTTATTTGAATGCATTCGTGCGATTATTTCGTCATTGAATTAACTTCACGTGAGACTTTATTCTTAACACACGAAAATTCCTTTTTCAAAGAATTCTAATATCGAAACGATTACATATCAATTTTCGTTAATAATTGAAGAAAAATATTCAAATATATAGCATCTCGATTACGAAACGATCGATTTCATCCCTCCTCCTCTTCCTCCTCCTCCTCCTCCTCCACCTCCACCTTTTTTACAGCCATTTTTCCCTGTCTCGGTGCGACTCGTTTCATTATTTATGGCAAGCTTTAATCTCGTATTATGATTAACCATCTCTCATCGATCAATCCCTCCTCCTCCTCCTCCTCCTCTTCCTCCTCTTCCCTTCCCCCATCCCTAAAAATTAACTTTCAACTAATAAGATATTCTCGTGTTGATAATAAAAACCTTTTCGTGCGATTAAAACCACCTGTCAATGTATAAAACAATATTTTAACAATGTTTCTAAATGATATTCACGTAAATGGAAATTGAATTAAACGTATTAACAGGTATTCGCAGGTGGACAGAATAAAAAAAGGTTAAAAAAAATCCAAAAACTGTCTCGCTAGCTAATTAACGAGTGATTTAAACCGTCGATCAAACATTCTGTTAGCAAAGTTGTCGTTGGGACTACATTTTACTCTCTCTCTCTCTCTCTCTC